ATATAGATATAATAAAAATAAATAATTAAAAATTATTTATTTATTTTTTTTTTTTTAACCATTATTTCTGTTTATAATGTTTTGTTTAATGCAATCAAATATTAATTATTGTGTTGAAGATCTTTCTTTATAATGTTATTTGTTCAAAATAAAGTAAGTTTGAAAAAAAAAAAAACACAGGCAGTTACTATGGTAACTCGTGATGTGGAGACAGGTAGTTGATCTTTACCTGAACCTTTAATCTGCTCAGGCACACAGGTGAATCCAGGTCATCCTCTGATAGGTCAGTTGGGTAGATGATGTAACATAGCATCAACTCCTGGGAACCAATCAGGATCCACCATTAAGAAAGATCAGCGGCAGCACCAGGTAGCAGCGACAGGTGGAGCAGTTACCTTGGAGACACTGGCTGTGATCCTGCTGAGAGCCGCCAGAGAGCGCCAGGAAAACGGGCGCAGCGCCGCACCCCCCAACGATTCACCAGTCCTCTCCACCACCACTGAGTAGCTACGGCAAGAGGACAGGGACAATCTGTGAGGCCCTCCTCTGCAGCATTTCTAATCGTTTTCAGAAACTAGACACGGGATGATCCGTCAGGAGCTCCCAACCCAGAGTGGAACAAGACGGCTCTGGAAGAGACAACATGTCTGACCTTCACCTGAACACAGAGCGAACTTCTGGAGACCAGAACAGGTGAGCGTTACCTGGCGTGGTAGAAAGGTGGTCCCTTCCTGTAGAGCACTGAAACCAGAACCAGATGAGAAAACACACCTGATAAGTCCACAGACTAGCAGAATGTGTCCTGGTTCTAATCCAGGGCCTGGAACAGCTCCAGCTTTTCCCTGCACTCTGACTGACAGCTCACAGTTGACTGAGCCTTACTGAGATCAACGCCGTATTTGGCCCCGCCTCCTCCCTTAGGGACCCAGCCCCTGCTGCGGAAGTGATGGTACGCAGCGTATGAACTGACGAAGTCGGGACGCAGCAACCGAAACGTCCTCCACAACTCCACGACTGACAGGGGCTCCTGACCAATCAGAAGACAGGACAGAGATGATGAGGTCACATCCTGACAAAACGCATCAGAGGTCCAAATGAGAGCCTCACCTGCTGCTGGTAGACAGACAGAACGCCAAGGCTGTAGACCAGGAAGAAGGCCTGCAGGTCAGACAGGTGAGCAGATTAGGCGTGAAATTTTGGCCTTTTGGTGCACTAATTGGTTGTTTTTCAGTATTTCCTAGGAAAAAACTGATTGGATGAAAAAGACTCGTCTGTGATTGGCTGCTGGTTTGGTTGGTTTTAGCCTAGATCAGGCTGAGTGAGAGTGCTATTCAATGAGCGTTTGCAAGACTTAAATGCACATAAATCGAATCATCATTCCTTCTCATAGAAATATGCAAGTAGATCAGTCTCACTGCCTTCATAGTTGCTGTGCTGACTCAGGTGTGTTACCTCCTCCAGGCTCAGCTGCAGGTACTCTGTAAGAGCCAGAGGACTCCGCCTCACCTCCCTGGCTCCGCCTCCATCCTGTAACCATGGAAATAACAAGAAATGAACAGCAGCAGCAGAGAAACACCAGCAGCCACTGTCTCAGGTGAGGACCCACCTGAGCTTCCAGGTCCACCAGGACATAACCAGGACCCGGAACACGGACACCAGAACCGGTCTCAGAGTCGGAGTCAGAGTTGGGTTCTACGTCCTGGTCTAGGTTCTGTGGGTCGGACCTGAACATTGACAGGAAACAGGTTCAGTCTGGTTCTGCCTCAGAACCGGTCTCTCTGGGTGCTGAACTCTACCTGCAGTTTCTGTCCTCTGGCGTTGACTCCGCCCCTAGCCTCTTCATTAGGACACAGGCTCCGCCCCCTGGCTCTTCTTCTGCTCCATTTTCCTCCTCTTCCTCCTCCACAGTCTCAGTCAGAGCCAGCAGCGTCTGATTGGCCGCCTCTTCATCCAATTGCTGAGAAGAAAGCTCTGCCTCTGCCCACCTGAGCAGCTCTTCATACCTGTGAGGGTCAGACATGTGACACTATCACCACAGACAGGATGTGATGTCACTGTGTAAGCAGACAGGATGTGATGTCACGTACCTGGACTGAGAGATGACAGGTAGAAGCACACCTTTGTGTTCTGTGACGAAAACAGAGGTCAGCACAGATTGGATGACTGAAGATGATGTCATTGTGTGGGTGGAAACTCACGCTCCCATTGGTCGGAAATCCTGTGTTCCGGTCGGGCTCTGGACAGAACCCCTTTTCCAAAGTAGCCCTAAAACGACAAACACATTTAGCCTGAGAGACGATACTAAGGGCAAAACCCATCTGAAGCTACACAGTTTGGACCTGGCTCTACTGGATCTGAACCTGGTTCTGGACCTGCATCTGCTGGTTCATACTTGGTTCTACTGAACCTGGATCTGGTTCTGACCTGGTTGTGGATGCTCTGGATGTGGTCGGGATGGCAGACCAGAACCTGCTGGTGGACCAGCTCCCCCCGGTAATGCTTCCTGTCCTGCCGGTTCCGGATCAGCGGCAGCGGAGCCTTGTAGTCCTCAGAAACCCGGGTTCTCCTCCGAGGAGGCCGGAACTCCGCCTGCATTCCGCCGGTTCCAGACGGCCAGAGTTGGGTCCAATCTCAAGTTTAAACGCCGTGGTTCGTTCGTGGGAGCTGAGGCGGTGTTACAAAAACTGTGTCCGGCTGGAAACTCCATTCGGAACTTCTTCTTTGCGGTTTGATTGCGTCCAAATAATTGCTCTACTGCCATCTGCTGGATAATTCGCCTCTACAGAATATTAATCGGTTGCTAATGAGACCAGAACTATTACTCCACCTGCTTATACTTCCAGGGTTTCGGGTGGTTCTGGTTTCGGTTCCGTTCCCCGGGAGGGAACCGAGAACGGTTTCTCTCCATCCTTCTTTAGCTGAAATCAATAAAGCTCAGCTCAATAATCTGTAATTGCCATGAAGAACAATACTCTACTTCTAGTCCACAAACCCAGTTCAGATCAGAACCAGTCCATTCAAGCTGCTGGAACCAACTCTTCTCTCTCTTTGGTTCCTCCTCTAACCTCAGCTTCTTCCTGATTGGTGGAAAGACTTCCTGCTTTAGATGCTTCATCCAAAACACAGATGTCTGAAACTCTGTTATGGTTTATGAAAATATTCACCTTTATTTACAAACAATAAATAAACATTCATGTCACACCAAAACAGACCAGTTGACCAGACTGATTTAACTAGTGGTCAGGTTGCTGTTTCAGCTATTTAGCTTCAACAATACTGAGACTAGTTTAACTGGTAGTATGGTTGTTTTAACTGGTGGATTGATTGGTTTAACTGGTGGCGACCGACTCTTCCTGCCCGTATCCCAGTGTCTCCTGCCTGTCTGCCAGGTAGTACTGGTGTTCCTGCAGGTGCCGGATCAGCGTGGTGTACTTTGACACCCTCCTCATCCTCGGCAGGATGAAGCAGCGGGTGAAGTCATCCCGGCTCAGAGTGCCGCGACCCTCCATGGCCAGGACGCCGTTCAGGAACTGGAGGCAGAAGCTGAAGCAGTTGTGGTCTTCCTCATGGAACCTGAGAGACCGACAGGTGAGTCAGAGAGGACAGGTAGTGAGACAGGGGCTTTGGGTGGAACCTACTTCTGCCACACTGGGTCCCAGGCGGGTCCCTCAGAGAACGTCTCCAGGTACTGGTCCCACTGAGCCAGCAGGTGGAACATGTCGGGTCGGACCAGGGGGACGCTGACACAGCGGCTCCACCCACTCTGATCTCGCCGCACGCCATCCTGAGTGTAGTTATAAACAACACCTGGATAAATATACAGGTGAGACAGAGTCAGGTGAGACAGAGCGGTGGCATCACCCAGGTGACCTGTAGGCCTCCTTACCTGGACAAAGGCCCTTGTCTCAGGTTCATACCTTTAGTGTTGGAGATGCCAGTGTGCAGGTCTGATGTCCCAGTAAAGTCTCTGAGGGACAGAGGAGGACACACTGGTTAGACTGGTGTCATACTCCAAACTGGTTTTCTGACCTGCAAACCAGTCACCTGCAAGTAACTGATGTAAGGTTTTCAGGTAAAGAGCTCAGGTGTTCCAGACCAGCATTAACAGGAAACCTCATCACCCACCAATCCAGACTGATGCTGGTTCTAATGGGTTCTAACAGCTGTTGGCTGAGTGTTTTCTGCAGGCTATCCTGGGTGTACCTGTGCAGATGTGCTGTTACCTGTCCTGGTTGTTGTGTGCAGGAGCGACCAGCAGGCAGCAGGAGGTCTTGTGTCCATCGGTGAAGGGGGACGGCAGACTCACCGGTGCCTCATGCAGTCTGCGGCCCTTCAGCTCCTCCCCGCAGCTCGGACACACCTCAGGCACCGTGAAGCAGAAGATCTCCTTCTGGCAGTGGCTCAGGTGGATGACGCTTTGCTCCATCTCCTCCTCAGCTGCTTGGCAGTCTGACCCACTCCTCTTCCTCCTCCTCTCTTTAGCTTCTTCTCCCCGCCTCCTCCTCTGGTTGCCTGGATACAGCCTATCAGATGACATCACAGACCTGGCTCCAGCCTATCAGGTGTTCTGGTGTCAGGCAGGTGGTCATGTGACCTGTTTCACCTGGAGGTGAGTCAGTCTGAGCAGGTGACCTCTGGACTGTGTCTGCATTGTTACCATGGAAACATGGACAGAGCAGGACGTGTTCAGCTTTATACTCTGAGGTCTGAAGACTGGTTGGGTGTTCTGGTTCTGACCCAAACCCGCAGAAAAATTCTGACTTGAAAGCTGAAACAGGAAGCTTCCAGGTGTTGCCTCCTGATTGGTTCTCACTGAATATTTTCCGTCTCACTTGTCAGACGGCGATCTGATCAGTGAGCTCAGGTGAGTCTGACAGAGATAGACTCATCTGGGGTCAAATGTCACACTTTCCTCTTCAGCCATTCATCATCTCTGAGGAACAGGTGAAATTATCCTCTGTCTGCAGGTAAACTGGCACACCTGAGCTGGACCCAGGAAATACCCTGAGTTCAGGAAGTCCAGGAACAGGAAAGTCTAAGGGGTTCCTGAAGGGTTCGGTTCATCAGGTGGCTGATGAACCTTGGGGTTCCTCAGGGACTTTGGGGGGATTTGTCAGGGGATTCATTAGGGGTACATGAGGGTCCCTGGTGTACTTGGGGATTGAAGTACATGAATCCAAGGAACCCTTGAGGTTCCTCCAGGGTGCCTCAGGAGGTAGCATAGAGGTCCTGGGTTGGAATCCCAGCCTGGGGCCTTTCTGCATGGAGTTATTATGAATGGGTTCTCTTTGGGTAGCCCTGCTTCCTCCCAGTCAAACTATGACTGTTTGGTTCATTAGTACCAAACAGGTGAGCTGTGGGACGCCACCTGTTACCCAAGACCAATTAATATCTACATAAATTAAATTGAATAAAGAGCTATAAATTGTTAAACTAAGATAATCAGGTTTTTTTCTGTAAGCTGGTGAATATAAAGCTTAGCAGCTGATTTGGACCACGCAGACAGAACAGTTATGGTTCTGTTTTAGGTTCTGATCCAAAAGAACCTGGAACAGAATCAACAGCCTGTGACCTGAAACACAAACCAGAGCCGGAACCCAGAACCTCCAGGAATACAAATCAGTAATCCTAAACCTGAACAGGTGAAAGTCCGCCAGGTGAGAGCAGAAAACATCCAACCTGAAACCGAACCTCCCTGGGCTGATGAGACAGAACCAGAAACAGTAACACACACTGGGTCAGTCTGGAATCAAAGAGCTCCTTTTTGGATAGTTAAAATCACAGCAGGATAACATGAATTCACGGGAGCAGAACCGGACCAGAACTGGACCAGAACATTCGCAGGATGGCGCTATTTTCTGCAGCTGCAGGAACGTTCCTCCTTCTGCTGCTTACTCCCGGAGCTCTTAGAGCGGAGAACCAGCAGCACACTTCCGGCAGCTGATCGCAGACCACGACGAAGAAGATGAGCACCAGACAGGTGACCTGCAGGTGAGCGCGCGCTCTTTGCTGTGTCTCTGTCTTTAAGCTACCAGTCCGACTAACTCAGGACCGTCACTGCGCACGCGCTGCCGTAAAGCTAATGTTTTTAGCCGCTAGCTCTGCCGCTGGCTATGCTTACCTGTGTGAGCATGCGCAGCTATTCATCTGATCAGCCGATTGATCAGTAAGCTGCCCGAGTCCTGCCGTTACCATGGAAACTATAGTTTAGGGCAGAACATCGCTGCTTGCGTCTGGTTCCGATCCTGGTGCTCTTCCCACCCGGTTCGGTCCAGTTAGTGTGACTGCAAAAGGTCGAGTTCCGTCCGAACCTCTGCTGTCCAATTAAACCGGATCGGAACCGGTTTCATTCTGCAGTTCTCCTGATCGGAGATGTAACTGTCTCAGATAAAGTTCTGGTTCTGAGCAGATTGAAGCTGCAGTATGTAACTTTTATGAAGAAAATGTTTTTTACGTATTTGTTAAAACTGTCGCCATTTTGTGACAGTTTGTTAAAGTCAAATCTGTAAAAATATCGATCTCTGAGCTACTGGAAGAAATGAATCGCTACTAACCACAAACAACCAATCAGAGCCACGAGGAGGGGCTTAGTGCAGTCAATCAACTTTATGTACTTGTTGCTAAATGTTCCAGTGGCGGAGAAACAATTTACAGTCACAGGATACGCTACTAGTTTGAGCATTCATAACGTGCTATGCTAGCTGCAGCATAGCAGAGGTGGGTGGGATATTATTCTTAAAATCAAGAAAATGATGGCCAACCCTGACCATCCGCTTCATGAGACTGTCGTGGAAAAGAGGAGTATCTTCAGTCAGAGGCTTCTTCAGACTTACTGTAATCCAGACTGCTACTGGGAGAAAGCAGAGGAACTAATTTTTTTTTAGATTGTGTCTCACACCAAACTGCCACAACATGGTGACAGTTTAAACAAATGTGTAAAAAATGTTTTATAAAAGTTACATACTGCAGTTTTAAATGACCCAATCTTTAGCAAAGGTCTGTCTGAATGTACCTGAGTGGACTGAATAGGTGACTGCCAGGTGAGTCACGTGTCCAGGTTTGTTGCAGGTATTTCCTCCACGGAGTCTGCAGGGAGGGCAGCAACTGCCTGTTCTCTCATGACCTGAACAACAGCAAACCGTCCACCATCTGCAAGTACTACCAGAGGGGAACCTGCGCCTACGGAGAGCGCTGCAGGTGAGGTGCACCTGCCCCTGACAGCTGACCTGTCTAACCTTCCAGGTACATGACAGGTGTGCTGTGTGTCCAGGTATGATCACGTGAAACATTCAATGAGAGGAGGGGGCGGAGCTTCTGCGGACCCAGCAGGTGCAGGCAGAGGAGTCAGAGGTGAAGGGAAGAAGCCTTTGGTCCTGAAGGACAGAGGTAAGGACACACCTGAGCTGCTGCAGATTTTTTCATAACTGACTCAATTTTACTTGATTTTTTTTTTCTCGCTTTCTTTTCCAAAAAAGAAATTGCAAATGCCAGAAAATATTTTTAAAAAGTGGATTTTATTTCAATCATTCCATCTGTCAGTTGGATCAGCATCAGAGTGCGAGAATTTCTGTTTAATTATGGGAATAAAGTCATAATATTAGCAGAAAAGACACAATTCCACCAGAACAAACATAATCAAATTACAAGAAATAAGTCAATTTAGTGAGAAAAAAAGCTTCTGTAGAAAAGATCTGATTAGTTCCTTATTCTCTGAAATACTCAGTTTGACCAATCGACTCAAGGTTCAGCTACTGAAAATAATTTGATGCTGACGTGTTTATTAAGTATAATCTGTAAAACTGACACCAAAGTATAACTTCACAAGATGCTCAACATTCATCATTTTAATTTAAAATTTTTTGTGTTTGCATAAAATTAAGATTTTATTCTCCTAAAATTACGACTGCTTTCTTGTTTTTATTCTCTTAATTTAAAATAAAAGCCATTTCCTGAATGTAGAGTTTACCTGAATCCAAATAAACAGAAACTGTCAAACAAGATGGCCGCCCTGGGTGATGACATCACTCTGAACAGTGGAAACCCAGGTGGAAAAAATATCAAAATTGTACAAAATTCAGATCTCCAGAACCCAATAATCTGGTAACTCCTGGGTTCTGATAGTACCATGGGTTTGCTTACGGGTCGGGTCCAGGTGTTGGGACAGGTGAGTCCAGGTGTGCTGCTCGGCGTGTGACCCGCCCCTTCCTGTTCCTCAGCACTGTGCGGCGATCGGACCTTTGGCAGCCTGTCAGACGGTCCGATCCCGGCGGTACCGGAGGCGGCGGCCACTCCGCAGTCCTACGTGGAAGCCATCAGAACCGGGCTGGACGGGTCAGCTCCAGAACCAGGTGGGTCCTGAATGGAGCCATCCGATTGGCTGATGACAACTTCCTTTTTACCTATCCTTTTTCCTGCAGAGCCTCACGCGGTGGGTGGAGCCTATCAGCTCTGTCCGTACGCCGCCGCTGGACACTGTTTCTATGGCGACAGCTGCCCGTATCTCCATGGTGACCTGTGTGAGGTGTGTCGCCTGCAGGTGCTCCACCCCCACGACCCGGAGCAGAGGAGAGCTCACGAGAAGGTGAGCATCGACCCGGGCTCTGGTACCTGTCGGACCTGGTCCTGGTACCTGTCAGACCTGGTCCTGGTACCTGTCGGACCGGGTCCGGGTCCTGGTACCTGTCGGACCAGGCTCTGGTACCTGTCGGACCGGGTCCGGGTCCTGGTACCTGTCGGACCGGGCTCTGGGTCCTGGTACCTGTCGGACCGGGCTCTGGTACCTGGTACCTGTCGGACCGGGCTCTGGTACCTGTCGGACCTGGTCCTGGTACCTGTCGGACCGGGTCCGGGTCCTGGTACCTGTCGGACCGGGTCCGGGTCCTGGTACCTGTCGGACCGGGGCCGGGTACTCGTACCTGTCGGACCGGGCTCTGGGTCCTGG